AATAATTTCCTAGGTGCAAATACTTGATCAAACTAGCACAGTTTGAAGTAAGGGCAGACTGCTCTGCGGAAAATAATTAGATTGTGCATTGCAATCCCTTAGTCATCTATATTCAGTGGTATGTTTATAAATGTTTAACAAACAGTTTGGGGGGAGGGCTGATTGTTTAACAGTTGGGGGGTGTGCCCATTTCCTTGGTGTATTCACTCACTGTGACTGTGACATCACTGAATTGTGACATCACTGAACACAGTTTGGGAAGAGATAGAGTAGTGCACCATACTGTCATTTCCATCACATAGATACAATAAATGTAAATAGCCTTAAGAGCATAAATAACAGTAAAACATGGCAAATAATAAAGTGATAAGTTTTGACTATTTTCACTCTTTGTTTTAACATCACTTATGTAATTTTTAAAATTGGTTTCAGAGAGGAAGGGAGAGGGAGAGAGAGATAGAAACAATGATGGGAGAGACTTATTGATCGGTTGCCTCCTGCACACCCCCCACTGGTGATCGAGCCTGAAACCTAGGCAAGTGTCCTTGACCGGAATTGAACTGGGGACCCTTCAGTCCACAGGTAGACACTCTATCCACTGAGCCACACCAGCCAGGGCATAATTTATGTAATTTTAAGTTTATATAATTGATTTTTAAATTTTTATCTTTAGCCTGGATGGTGTGGCTCAGTGGTTGAGCATTGACCTATGAACCAGGAGGTCACAGTTCTATTCCCGGTCAGGACACATGCCAGGGTTGTGGGCTCGATCCCCAGTGTGGGGCGTGCAGGAGGCAGCCAATCAATGATTCTCTCTCAGCATTGATGTTTCTATCTCTCTCTCCTTCTCCTTTCCTCTCTGAAATCAATAAAAATATATTTTTATATTTGTTGAAAGTATTACAGATGCTGTGTCCATGGGTTATGCATAGAAATTCTTTGGTTAATCTCTTTCCACCCACTCCGACCCCCTTTCCCTGAGATTGTCAGTCTGTTCCATGGCTCTGTTTAGTACTTGAATCTTGTAAGCAAGTACTGAATTGACTACGACTATGAAGTATTCAAAGTAGGGCAAGAGCATGATTTAAAGACGTGTTCCCCTGCGTATTATATTCTTGGGAATCTTCCTTTACGCAGACTAAAGAAAAGCCTATTTCAAAGTACCATCCCAAGGATATTACTCTTTAAAAATCATCAACACCGCCAGAGGAGGCGCCTTGCACACAGAAAAACACTTGCCAGGGGTTTGACATGAGCGTTCAAAGGGAGAAATAAGCCGCCTTAGTCTCAAAGTGCCCGACCTACGGAGAACAGGAACGGAACAGGGACGGAATGTCTCAGGGCGTAGGTTTTGGGGGCGGCGCCGGAAGTCTGAGCCCGACAGGAGGCAACACCCCGGGCCGATCAGCCCCTGCCTGGCGCCTGACCTTGGCCGGACCCTGGGAACGGCCGGGACAGGGGCAAACCCCGGACGCCCACCCCGTCCCGGCGCTGTTAGGGCTCCCGGGGGAGCTCTGCCGGGCTGTGGAGCCTCCCGCTTCCGCAGCCGAGGAAGGCGGCTCCCGCGACGCCGGCAGCGCGCGTGCTCGTCCTTACCTTGAGTGGACGCGGCCATTTCGGCGAGTTGGTCTCGCGATGACATGCGCGGCAGCTCGGCGCCGAAAGACAAGGAGTGGCGCGGCGGCGTCGGCGTGAGCTGGTTTCCGGCACGTGGTTCAGATGTTTCCATGCCGGAGGCCTTAGCGGAAGAGGGCGGGCTGGGCTTCAGGTGGTGTCTCCCAACCTCAGCGCGCCACTGCGTCACAAAGCTCCCGGCGTCATTAGCCCCGAGGCCCCGCCCAGCAGATGCGTCGCGCATGCGCAGAAAAGCCCCGCGCGCAGTTTCTCAATGGTACTTCTCGGAGTTCACGTCCTGGGGAGTTTCACGGGCGTGAACGAAACCGGGTCCTTCCCCAGTAAAGACGATTTTACTAAAAATAAAGAAAACAGGCTTGT